AACGCATACGCCGGATGGGCAACTGCTGACCAGCCAACACCGACTAAGCAGCCCACTTAAAGGGAGTTTGGCAAATATTTTAACAACTTTGTTACGGCATTTTTTATGAAAATTGGACACCAGCGAAAAACAGAAAGCGGCTGCGAAGATGGAGCCTCTTAGATGGAGGTTTACACAGTTTATAATAAAAACCATTTACTATGCAAATATTTGATCGGCTGGCAGGTCAGCGGCGAAGGGGAATGGATGGATGCTCCTGCCCATCTCGAGCCATTTTTCACGCTCGGCGTATGGGAATTTTAAATTTTGGACACGAGATGAAAGATGAGCAAAGTCAAAATCCAAGTTGAGTGCCGGGGAATGTGTTTGCGATGGGTTAAGTATGACTTACAGTATGCATATGCATTTCATAGCCCTCCGACTTTTAGTTCGGTCTCGTGTTTGCTTTGACTTTGAGCGAGGCAGCCATGAAAAATTAAAAGGGGATTGCCATGCGGCAGCTGAACGGCATTTCCACTGGTAACTTGAATAACTTTTTCCACTCGCTCGCCTGTCAGCGTTTTTCTTTCGATTTTCCGCCGCCTGCGAGATGATGTATGTCGGACAAGTGCTTCGCTTCGAGGGGAATGCGTTAACGCTGGTGGCTGCTGCTGCTGCTGCTGCTGCTGCTGCAGGATGTGGGATGTGGGATGTGGGTTAGTCAGCCAAGCATGTGGCTTGCATTTAATTACGGGGATTTGCCCGGATCCAAACTACAGACTGCCTGATAAGGGGGCTAATTGAGCTGCGAGCGGGTGAATTGCCTCGGCCAATATATAAAGTGCGGTAAAAGCACTTTCCTTGGCCACAAGTTTTGGGTCACAAATTAAGGAGGTTGACAAGTCAGGATTGGCCTTTGGATTATGGTTTTGCGGGCAGAGGCTTTAATCTATTAGTTTTCCCTTGCAAATGGTAGACAGTAGGAAACTTTTTCCCGAAGTTTGGCAAACGAAAACGATATGTCGTAGTTGATTGTGGGCAAAAAAGTATGAAATATTTATATATATTTTTTATCTCTATTTTTATATATGTCGTCCTCAAAAAAGAACTATTTATTACCCATTTTCAGGTAAGCCCAGGTGCTCCCGTAAAAAATCTTTATTGAACATTAACAATTAAAGTAATCTCACTTTATTGCCCCTTCATGTCGAAGGTATTCCACCTTCTGCTAAACTGTTTGCAAAGAAGAACAAAGTTCTGCGCACAGTCAACTCATCTGAAATTGCGATAGGTCAGGTTCTGTCAACCCCTGAAAAATGGAGCAACAACTATTAAGTTTTGCTGCTCGATTTGCCAGCCAAAGGTGACCAAGGACATCAATTTGCCGCCCTCTACAGTGGACTCTAAATAAAATGTAGCGAAAGGCCAGGGTGCTTACCTTGTGCAATAATAAAAATTCGTTGTACAAGGTAGTTTGCAACTCGTAAAAGTGTTGCCAATGTTGATGTGGCTGCTGCTGCTGGTAGGTTTTCTTGTTGTTTTTTTAGCATCAAATGCTTTGGCGAACTTTTGGCTTAGTTGTTGTTGGCGATTTGTTGTTTGTAGCTTTTGTATTAGCCATAGAACATAGTTGTTGCCTGCATTGTTGTTGTTTTCGTTGATGACCGACTGACTGAACCTGCTGCTGCTGACGATGTTGCTATTGCCGCCGTGTTGTTGCTGCTGCAGCAATTGGTGTTGCTGCTGTTGCCGTCCATTGTTTGTATTTTGCGATAGGGGGGTAGGGGGAGGGGGGTTTTAAAACGTTTTGTGCTTATTGTTTTAGACACTTGTCATGGAATGAATTTGCAAACTATTTTATTTGGTTGTCTCTTGCCCTTTTAGGCAATTGTAAACAATATCTGTTGTTTGTTTTCGTTTGCTTGCTCGCTTTTTGATGAATTGTTTATGGGCATTTGGCTAACGATGAGGAAGAACAATAAAAATTTAATTTTTTAAATATTTTCCATGCGTGCTTTTTACGGATTTCACATTTCTTTCCCGCTGCTGATGATGATGCGAAATGGCAGCCCATATGCCAAAAGATTTATGACCATACAAAATGGCAAGCGCCTGTCTTGCCCCTGCTCCCCGATGCCCCATGAATTATGCAATGAAATTTATTTCATTTTTCCCATTTGAGGGCGCGAGCACATGAGCATTTTTTAGGAGTGTCGAGGTCGTCGACAGACTTCTGTTATTGTTATAAATGGGGGGAGAAATGATTCTTTAATTTATGAAAAAAGTAGCGTATTTTTTTCAGATGCAGCAAACACGGTGAGGGAGTTTTCAAATATGAAGAGGGAACTAAACTTGCCCCCCGGCACATTGACACCTAGACATTCGCTGAGTTTCCCCTTCCTGACATGGCCCATTGTCCCCGGCCACTTTTGTCGCCTGTCTTTTCATCCACTTATTAGTCTGCGTTTTGCAAATATTTGCATACGAGGCACGTTTCAGACATTTTTCTTCAGCTCATTCCTTTTATTTTGTTCCTATTATTATTATTACTTCTTGCTGCCACTCAGCTTTCCCCGATTTTCCAGTTTCCTCTTCTCAGCTTTCTTCGTTGTGGTGTAAATGCGAGATTTCTTTGCACCACATTAAACAAGTAGAAAAAATGGGTTGAAATATGCGGGATAAAGTATTTAAATCAGTTATGAAATTTTTAATGTCGGCAAGTTTCCGTATAACATTAATTCATCCAAGGCAAGGGGGTTACATTAATTGTAAGAATAAAGAAAATTAAAAAGGAAATAATGATTCCGGTATTTTTAATAAAGCCTTTAATAAAGGATTGCAAATGCTGTGAAAAAGTAAATGAAATGTAAAATTAATATTTTATAAAAACGTAATATATTTACGGTTAAAATGGAAATAAGGAATTCTAAAAGTGTTCTACCATTTTGAAATGAAATTTATTTGCTTAAATAAGCCACACATATTTGAAGATAATTTTTCCTTCGATTGTAATACGATATGAAAAAAACAAAAGCATCGTATTGGATCCACTTATAAATCATCCAATTTCGAGGCTTGGTGCCGGTTTAAAAGTTGGCTTCACAAGGATACCCGTCGATTGATAGCCTGCACATTTCCAAGAACTAATCCTTAAGACGACCCCCGTAATCCACTTAATCCTCCGAGCCAAACACGTTGCTGCCTATCAGACAAACGATTTCGAAAACGGAATAAAGGAAACGCCGTAAGGACATTTGGCAGGCCCTCCCCGCTGTCCTTTATCCTCAATCCCCCTTTGACGACCCTTGATTGCTGCTGTTTTTCGGGCCCTTCCACGGGCGCCACATCAATTTGTAATTTGTAAATGAAATTGCCCTTGTTCTGGCTTCCCTTTTTCGGGCCCACCAGAAAAATGCAAATTTGTCAAATTGATTTAAAGCCCCGGTGTCGGCCAATTTAAATGCCAAAAATTAATTACACATGCACGCGCACACATGAACTTTGACTGGGTTTCATATATGTATTTTTTATTTATTTTTGAGCCGTCTTTGCTTGACACTTTTGGGTGTTTGGAAACTTTTGATCTGCGGTAGGACTGACTGCCGCTTGCCTGGTAAATAACACAGCCCGATTGACGATACTCGCACTCGTCCTTGTCGTCACTGGCACCTCACACATTCAGTTGGCAGCACTGGCCCAAGTCAAGTATCCGCACCGGTGGCCCGCCGCTAAACGAACTCCGCCGCGCTCCCGAGTAAACTGACTTAGGGCAACGAGCTGCGCCAGCAGGTGACCCGAACTGGGCCTCGGCCATCGCCCGAAGCTGGGCCTTATCAGAGCCGAAGGATAGCCCGAGAGAGGGCAACGCAGTCGCACATGAGAGAGCCGGCTTTCGTTGGTGATTGGTGTGTGGTGGCTTTCAGCCGTACTCGTTGGTGAAAGGACCCATGTGCTGCGGTGAATGTCGGCTCTTATCAGTGGTGCTCGGTGGTGGGGAGGGGGACAGGTCTTATCGGCCTCCAGACTGCAGCTCCACTCCATATCCTTGCCAGCTGACTTGTCCTTCGGGCTGACGAATGTGGGCAGGCGTCTGGCAGGAATGTGCCAAAATGTCAAGCAAGCAAGCTGGTTTTGGCTGCGCCAAATCCAATGATAAGACCAATTCACTTACCATCGTAGAAAACGTTTTTTTTTTAATAGAGCTCCGGATGATTTTCAGAAAGTCACTCCACTGCCAAGCCAGTTATCAGCAGAGATACCGTGCTTATGGCTTAGTTAATATTATAATAGTTGAAATGAACACATTTCACCTATTGCTTAGCTTGAATATATTGGAAAATAAAGTGTAATAAATATAAATATTAAAGTTTATCCAATCACTAGAATAGAATAAATGAAAATAATTTTTAAATACAAATTTTTATTGCACACATAAAATTTGCAAGCCCTCGTTCCTTTTTTCCAATACAAATCAAAGCAAATTTCTTCCTCAACTGTTCCGTTTCACGAGAATCCTGATGAACAGCCTCAGCGCAAGGACAACGTGTCCCCGCCATGCTTGGCAGAGTCACAATGCCCAGGCAACAGTAGCCTCAGCTCCTTCCTCCGCTGGCTGACACCTCGGAGCATTCATTCCGACTTTCATGCTCCTGTCTGCCGGAGATTGTTATGTTTTGGCCACTCCATTGGGGCGATGTTCGCCATCCATCGCTTATGCGCGCTTTCCTCGGGGCAAAATCAATGCAGCGGCATGTCAGCCTGGTTTATTGGCTTCCATTCGGACACTAAGGAGGCCAAACTAATTACCGTGCATAATAAATCAGATCCCTGTCATAGACTGCCATTAGTTTGACACCACCCTCCTGCCCGACATCCCACTGGCCAACGGGAGAGCTCTTCTAGCATTTATGCAAATTGGCAGCAATGCCAGTGCCCGCGGCGAATATCGCAGCAATGGCTCGCTGCCTTCTGCATTATTAATTGCAATTTGCTTGCTATTTTTCCAAGAAAAGTGTACCAGCTATAACCTAATAATAGTCAAGCACATGGCACTCCCCAGACCACGCTGACAATCGAGTTTATTTATGCAAAATTAATTGATTTCCATCGAAAATGCAATTGACACATTTTTCCCGGAACATAATGAGGGGTAATTTATAATCATGGCACAATTGAAAGTTCTTAAAATAGTGGCCACGTTGCGTGACTTTGCCGATGATGGACTCAAATTATTAAGCAAATTACGTTTTTCCTTTAGATCGAATATAGGGATTTTTTATAACCCATGTCAATACAGAAGAAAAGATTGGTTCCTGTGTAACACAAGAAATTATAATTACTATAATACATTAAGATGAGATATCTCACCTTAGTTGCCTGAAGAAGTTTACTTTCTTGCGCGCTTCGGAAAGATTGTGCATGTGATCGTCAAGAAACTTAAAATCCAAACCTGTGGTAAACTCAAAATCGTTTTTCGGCTTACGATTGAATATGGGATCTGGTGTTTCGGTTTTTTGAACAAAGGGCTTACAGCGATTTGGATACGGCTGGGAGTATTGTCTTGTGTAGCTCGACAACAAAGGGGGTTCCATATTGTCCTCGATTACTGATATTCCATAACGGGGGCTGCGGAAAAGTTCAGTATGTGCTTACATACGGGTAAAAGCGTATAAGAAGACCTCCACCCTCTCAATATAAACACGGATTTTATCAATCACTTATGGGGTATCTAAACAAAAAACCTTAAGCTGCACTTCTTACTGCTCGCATTTTTCCCATATACCCCTACCCTTCCTTATTTCCCTAAACAGCATCATTTTCCACTCACTCATCCATATTGAACGACTGAAAGTTGACCAGCTTTTTCTGCTGCGTGGAAATAGTCCTTAAACCCTTGGCGCCCTCCTCGAGCATCGCCTGCGTGGTGGTCTTCAATTCATCCTTGGCCATTGATTCCCACAGTTTGGTTTTCTTTTTGCACGCCATTTTGACTGTGATTGTGTGTGTGAGTCGGAACAGTGAACAAAGTTTACTGGGCGATCTGAAATGTTTCTCAGAGTGAATTCCTTTCAACCTTTGAGCCCTGCTCGCCATAATCCCCAGTGCACAAAAACAGAAATCACATCATTAAACTGCCAGCGTGGCGCTGGCAGTCGTTGCACAATATTATAAGCGCCACAATTGAATTCACAAGCGGATTTGTTGCGGGCGGCGGCAAATGATTTCTGAATCAATAGCCGATGAAAATGAAAATCGAATAGTGGGTCATCGGTGGAAATGTACAGGAGTCGAATTGAGAGGGGGCCTTGTGGGCGGTGGGTTCCGGTGTGTTTAGTGGCCAAACCGACTACAATGGCCAATAACAATGGCTGATTGGCTCTTTGGCGTCTCCCATAATGAGCTGCCACCTCTATTTGCACTTGCAACGGCATTAATACGAGCTAATTAAACAAATATTGTGTTCATCCGACTACGAGTGTCCATGCATGAATGTGTGCGAGTTGCTGTTACGATTAGGTGGTGTGTTCTATGTCGGCGTGAGTAGCATTACACAAAAAGTTGGGAATTTGTTATGAGAAATTATTATTTCAAGAGCTTAAACTAAAATATTTTATATATGTTTTATAAGAAGTTTAATAAAGACCTAACATCTTAATGTAGTAAACAGAACATTGCAGAAAAATTGGCTATGAGAAATTAATTATTTCAAAAGCTAAAACTAAAAAATTATATATTTTATGTTTTATAGGAGGTTTAATTAAGAATTTATATTTATAATTTGCTATGAGAAATTTATTAATATTTTTTACGTTTTATAAGAAGTTTATAGAGAACTTATATTTTAATGTATATTATGGGACATAATTATATTTGAAAAGTCGTTCCAGTAAGAAATTTATTCTGTGAGCAATCTCAAATTTTAAACGAGCTATAAGTTTGTATCTTTAAAAAGAATTCTTATCACAGTGATTTTTGGAAAAAAGAATTGCCCCAATACATTGAGCTCTAGTCACGGCTCCAGTCACGAGTGCACCATAAAGTCTTGGCCGCGAGTGTATCCACCGCCGTGATTACGCACATCAGACGCCTTGTATCAACAGTCGACATCGGGTCGTCGATGACACCAAGCCGAGTGTTCAACAACATAATGCGATGGCCGTCGAGGGGAATTGGCGGAAACGGAAGTGATGCAGAAAATGAACGCACGGCGATGGGGGCACGCGGTGGGGTTATGTGGCTCATAAATTATGGGGTAGCATTTTGCAGCCGGTGCATTTTGCGGTGCATAATTTGCATTTTTAAGCATTTTCACAGTGCATTGGACATAATTAAAAACAACGACTCTGGGGCTTCTGACCGCAAGTCCTGCTCCAACTCCGAGTCCGGAACCCGTGGCAAGAAACTCAGCTTAACCTTGACAAGGTTGATCAAAGGCACAGAGAACAACCACATACATCGAACGTGTTATGAAATTATAGAATACTTTTGCAAGTACAAGATACTGCATCATTCTATAGCTTACAAACAAAATTGATCTTATATTATATGATCTTATGATCTTCTTTGCTTATTGAAATTTCCCAGTACAAGTATTTTTGAATCTGAAAGCTTAGTGCAAAGATGTTGCCGACAGTCAAGTTTCTCACCTTCATGCTTGCCTCGTCCCCAGTTGGCTTTTACAAGGTTTTCTGGGGGCGTGGCAGCATCAACTTCGGGGGCAGGCAGCCATGGTGCACTTAACAAATTAATGTCAAGCCACAATAAAAGTCAACAGCTGGCTTGCAAGAGGGGCGGCGAAAGGCAAAGCTATGTTTTGCCCTCTTAGGTGGAAGGTTAGTGGGTAGTGGGGCAGTGAAAGTGGCGGGTAAAAGGGGGTAGTACGTGCAATGAACGGAATCCGACACACATAAGTTAAACAAATATACTGCGCACCCGCACAGCCATAAAAATACAGATGCAGATGCAGTTGCCGATGCAGATGCAGATGCCCAGATGCACAGTTGGTCGTCGTAAAGTCTTCAGAGAGGGTGAAAGGGGGAAAGGGGTAACTGCACCTGCTGCCAAAGACTCCGAACTCGCAGCAGAGATGCTGAATCAAATTCTCATATTAAATAATCGAATTCCTCGCATGCACATCATTTTAAATTCACGTTAGCACTTTCCTTCAGACTCGCATCCACTGCACATTCATTTTACATGCATATCCCCGTTTTTAGAATCGGTTTGCCTTTCTCTCCGAAAATTTCTCCCAGCTCTTTGTATCTAGAATCTTTAAGCAATTTTTCTCGCCAACTTGGTTTGCCCGAGATTTTGCGCTTGACATATAATTTTTATGAGGCTATCCAGGGGAGCGGAATAATGGGGGCTTAGGAATAAAGACAAAAAATTTTAATTTTAATTTTAATTGAAATACTTAAAAGTATGCGAAGATTTAAAGTGTTCTATTGGAATATGCTATGGCTTAACAAAATAAAATAGGTTTACTTCTTAAATGTATTTGAATATGAAGGTTTTACCCTATGCTACAGTTATTAAAAGCAAAACCAGCCAAGAACCCCCATTCAAAAAGAAACTCCACACCCCTGCTTAAGCATTCTCTGTATCCTTTATTTGCGGATGGCAAAAACTTCTGGCACGCACGTCCGCCCAACTTTTGATGGCTGAGGTGTGAAATTTTGCGAGCTGTACGAGCCAAATAGGCATAAAATTATTTAAAACTCGACGCGAGACTGCAGAAAAGGATGCGTCATAAATGCGAGGCAGTTTCGCACTTCCCCATTGCATTTCATTTAAGGGCTTACATCATTCGTCAGCTGTTCCATTTTCTGCCAGGCCTGGACGTATTCCTGGTAGAAATCAGAAAGCAGGTGAGGAACGAGCTGGAGGGCAAGTTCTAAAGGAACCAACTCGGGTTCGTTGAGATTCATGAACTTAATGTAGAGAAACTGCTCCTTGTGGGTGTTTTGTACCATGTCTAATATCGATTCTACTTGATAGCCCCGCTGAAAAGCATCGATTGTGGGAACCGGTGGAAGATTGGCAAGATCTGAAGAGAACTTCTTGACTGGTTTCTTAACGGTTTGAACTAGTGTGCTGGGAGGTAATGTTGTTTCCAAGGTGCAATTCCTTTTAGCCGTATGTTTCTAGGGAGTTGACGATTAGTTTTGAGGGATGAACTATTTTACTTGAATATTCACTCACATTTTCTTGGAGAAATGGAGTTCTGCGCTTTCGTACGGCTGATTCCATTTGGACTTATAAAATATATATTTTTCCTCTCGAATTGTTTCTGTGTAGCAGGGCAATGTATACACTGAAGTTTAACTCTTTTTACTTCTTCCGAGTGGCACTTCATAGCCGGCTCTTCTCTGGAAATTCATATGACTTTCGCTTCTGTTGCCTGTTTTACAAATGAACTTCCTGCGGCCAAAACAACTTCACGGCACTTTGAGCCGGCCCATGGCAACCGGGCAGATGGAGATGGAAGGCTGGGGGAAATGCAGTTAAATGAGCGGAAATACGAAATTAACTCGCCACGAAAGCACAGAGCAAACAAAGAAATTGTTGTGCAACTAAAAAAAATATCCCCACACACTCGCAGAGTAAAGGAAAATGAAGAGGAAATAGAGAATGAGAAAATCAAGTGCCGTGGCAAAAACAAAAAAAAAAGGGTTGGAAAAACGCAATTGAAAGCAAGCAAAGCGGCGGAACAGAAAAAATGTATAATAGCAGAATAAACGTTGCCACTTGGCCAAATTTAATGCAAATATTTGGCCAGCCGCAAACGGAAATGTTGTCTCTCCCGCCGCCGACGAAAAGCTTTCAATGCATTTCTCTAATGCCGCACTTGGTAAATCGTGAAAAATTAGGGAATTAAAGTAAGTAAAACACTGCCCATAAACCAACTTCCATGCACAGTTGCAAAATGTATATTTCCGGGTTTCCCGCCACCTAATTCAAATTATCCTCCACATAGAATTCCGCTGAGCTTGATAAATAGAAGCGAAGCATTCGAGAACTGTGCATGATTTATATATTCCAGTCCTTGTTTTATGCCGGCCCCTTGTATATTTCGTTGCTGTGACAACGACGCACTTTTCGGGACTTTAGAAATTGTATTTAATTGCTGGGGTATCCCAAAAGGACTGGGAAGTCCTTCGGTCGGCATTTAAAATTAGACAAACATTCTGCCTCGCAATGGAAATGACAATAAAAATAGCATCAAATTTATGGCATACCGAAATAGAGAGGTGGAGAACACGAGAATGGAAAAGGAGGAGAAGGACCTCGTTGAGGGCATTTTATTCTCTTGCATCGTCCTTTTATTTCAACTCCATTTTGTCTGTCACTCACTCGAAACAAAATTTTCGTTTACACATTCTCCTTCAAATGCAATTGCAAAGAACTAATCATTTTATTTTGTAAATATATACATAAATATTGACATTTTTAAATCATAAATTTATATGTTTCTATTATTTAGTAAGGCTAAAGTAGTTCACTTAACGTATTTGGTTACAAGTTTTAAAATATCAAAAGAAGTAAGAAATAATTTAAACATAATTTGAGTAGTTAAATATAAATTTTATTTAATTTCTGAGACTACAATTTTGCCTCAGTGTTTTTTGGCAAGCGGCGTCTACTGCTTGGCACTGACTTTGCCTTTTTCAGCCGCACTGACTTTGCACAATTAATGGCCACCTTCTGCTGTACCGCTGCCACTCCACCTATTATAAGCCCCCTGCCACCCACGCCACTTACCAGGCATTCCCAATTCCGCGCAATTATTGCGGCCATTGTGTGAGAACCTTTTGCCAAGTGTCTTGTGTGTCATCGTCACCGCTGAATTTAACATAATCCTCGGATGCTCCAGACCGAGTGCTGCCCACTCCGGCGGCTCCTTTTGGGCGCCAGGAAAATTGTTGGCAGCTGACGCGACTTGGCCAGGATGTTACTCGAGGTCCTTTGTGTTAGCCCTTTTCCGCTGCTGGTGCTCATTCGCCTGCCGCTTTTCTTCCTGCGCATAATTAATTTCACGTTCTTGCCAAAAATTATGCGACAGGATTTGTTTGCCCACGCTCATTTCCCTTCACCGAAAAGTCCTTCACTTTGATTTCTTTCTGCTTCAGTCTTGTTGTATTTGTTTTCCATTTTGGCAGCATCTCGTCAGGCGCCGGGCGAACTTAAATCCTTCGGCGGGCCGTCAAGTTGGCCAATTGTGCTGCAAAGTCAGCTTAAAATAAGAAGTTTTCCGGAATAGTCAGTGTAAACGGTTGAGCCATTTTAAATGCAGAAAATTCCATTGTCATGTCGAAGAAGTTGAGAGCTGCAAAGTGAATTTCTTATACTAATAGGTTTATTTTAATGGCAATTCCAGAGGAATTTGTATACTTCTCATGTCAACACATACATATTTTGAGGCTTTTACTGTTTTTTTAGGGGAATAAAGCTGTGTGGCTGTCCAAAAAGTTGGCCAGCTTTTAGAGCTCTATCATATGCAAGCTTGAGCTTAAGATCTCTATTATATGCAAGGAATACAATGCATCAAGATCTAATTGCTCTTATGCAGCCTACATTTGATTTTCAAGCCAACTTGACCCACATGGATGGCTGCATTCAAAAGGCAAACAAAAGGCTTTATAGACAAACAATATCAAAAATGTATATTTATCAGTGGCATCATACAAAATATTTGCACATTGCTCCGTTTGAGTTGAACCCCCGGAATTCACACTTGGTTATTTATAATTGTTTTCCAGCTGCAATCGATAACAATTCAAATCCATTGCTGCCAATAAACAATTATTGCAGCCAACAGCAAAACAGAGCTCTCCCATCGCCCCAATTTACGCCGTTTTCCCTGCTGGCTGGGCTCAAATGGGTTCTAGGCCATCAGCCCCATTAGCCACAGAGTGGTAGTCGCATATAAGCCAACGGACATTTGGCCAGACTATCGTTGAGCTTTTTATCTTCATAAAAACACCGCCAGACAAAACACACATACTGCAAGAGATGGCACTCAAATCCATAGCAAAAATGTTCAAAAATTGGCGAACGAAAAATGTAGTGAAAGCTCAGGGTGGGAAAACATGGTGGACAATCCCACCGAGGAGCACTAAATAAAGTTTGCAATGAAAAACTATTAGGGAGTCGGCACAAAAAATTCACTTAGAATGTCATAGCAAAAAATAACAACAGGACAGCAACAAAAACCAAAGGAAAAAAATGAAGGGAAGTTTATCCACCCATGGAAACTCCTATTTGCAAATTCCAAGAGAGGCAATGAAATGGCAACCCACTGTATGGGATTGCAGGAATTCAAGGGACTTTTTCCTTTTTTTTTTGGTGGGGGAGAACAAGCCGAAACAGGAAATTAAAATCGAATCGTGTGCGCTTTGAATTGTGCATCTTCCATCTGAGCACATGGATCTTTGTTTACGCGTATCTGTGCATCTGTGGGTTCTCCCTTCGATAAGTAGACGCCCCAACACCAGAAAGTGTTTAATTTGATAGGACCCCAGGGACTTCAACTTGGGTTCTCGGGTTGGGGTTTGGTCAAAAACTTTGCACCGTTACCTTGACTTCCAGAATTTATGGGGAAAGTTTTCCGCGTCTGCGTTTCTCTGTGTCTGCCTGTGTGTGTGCGTTGCCCAATTATGCAATTTTAGCGCATAAATTTCATGAATCGCGACCGGCGGCCATTGCAGGGAGGAAGCTCCAGATTCAGTAACCAGCTCCATCTCGAGCTCCAGCTCCAGTTTCAGTTTCGGCTCCGGCTTCCTCCTCCACTTTTTTCCGGCAACTTCGGTTGGATGTTCACACAACTGCGACTTTCTAATTAAAGCGTCCAGTCGGCGGGACATCCAGTTCCTGGCCCAGTCCCAGTTTAAGAATCGTTCCCATCCCGACCGCCAGCCCAAAATAGGTAAAACCACTTTTATGGCCTCCAAGAAGGGTATGATAAAAACATATTTACGAACAGTTGGGCACATTTTTAATATGATCAAGTTTTGCAAAGTATTTTATAGTTCATTTCGCTTTCGAAAACACCGTGTCCCTAATGAATGCCAGCCAATCTGCTCAGATATTCATGTATCCCCACAATGCACAATGAACTCCGAGTGTATTCCATCTTCGTCTCGTTGCGAGTCCGGTGATGCCGCAGTTGAGTCTTGGTCCCGCTCGTAAATATAAAAGTTGGCATCGCTCCCCGGAGACAAATCAGTTTGATTTTGATTGCATCTTTTACGGCCTTTGGCACCCTATAACTTTTTCCGGCTCACCTTGGCGGACCCGTTAATTCTGAAGTGGCAAAGAAAGCGGCGACACAGGTCCAAACCGAAGCGCGGAGCAGATGTCGGGTTGAGTACTATCATGGCAGATGGTTGTCTTAATCCCAACCAGCTGCACTGAAATAAATTGCACAGGGGCGTCTAGACCAACACAACTAGCCACAACTGACCAAAAACTATTGTAAATATAAACAATTCAATTGAAAATACTAAATGTTTCATTTTAAGTTTTCAATTCTAGTAAATATGGTAAACGATTTGGTACTAGTTTACTTATTTAATTTATGTAAAATTATAGGTCATAAAAAAAATTGTTGCATTACATTTCTTTCAGTGGTCATTTCCTTTCTTCTTCCGCTCAACTGCAGTTTGGCATTATTGGGGCATGTGCTGTATGTGTTTCGTCATGTTTTGTAGCCCGTCCTTCGTCCTTCGTCTTTCGGCGTTCGGCGTTCGTCTGCTTTTACTTGCCAGGATAAGCTCGTAAAACTTTTCGTAAGCCAAGAACCGACAAAAGCGAGGAAAAAACTTGACTTTCTTTATTTGTTGTTGCGCTTTTTCTGCCTTTGTTTGCCGGAAGTTTTATGCGTGAGCCGAAAGGTGACCAAACAGCATGGGAAACAAGGAAAATTAAGGACTTTAATGAATCGTTGGGGAGCGGTTGAGGATCCAGCAAGGAAGCCCAATAAAGAAAAAAGTATATCTCCGCAATGGCAGGTCTAACAAAATTTCACACACAAAACGCTTTTACAATTGAAATGTCAATAATGTTTTATGACATTGCAGCGATGGGTCCAAGGAAAACAAATCAAGGGGACCAGCCCCCAAACAGCCCGCAAAATATTTTCATTTCCCTGACAAATCTTGACATGCAACAGCAATCAAAAGCGACGGCTTCGGCCTTCCTGTCCAGGGGGCAGTAGGGGGTTAAGGTTCCGGGTGCCACCAAAACGGGACAACATTTTGTGGCCTGTCTTGCGGTGTTTGCCTGAAATTGGCCAGAAACAAACGCAAAAAAGTACCAACGATAAAAGGGACAGAGGAAATCCAATTCAAAATGCCATCAGACATTCTAATTTCATTCATTTTTCAATACAATTCCATGGTCCGGCTTCCACTGGCTT